CAGCACTCTACCCAGGGGGATAGCTTGAGGCTCTGTCTCAAAAAAAAAAAAAAAAGAAGAAGAAAGAAAAGAAAAGAAATTTATTCTCTCAAAGAATTCTAGATCTCAGAATTCCAAAGTCAAGCTGTCCATAGGGCCATATTCCCTCTGAAGGCTCTGAAGAACATCCTACCTTGCTTATTCCAGCTTCGGGTAGCTCCAGGTATTCCTTGGCCTAAGGCAGCATAACCCTAATCTCCACCTACTGGGTCTTCACATAGCTTTCTCTATGGTCAATTTTTTTTTCAATTGAGGAAAATAAATTGTGCAACACAAGTGATTTAGGAACAAAGCCAGGGCACCTTACTCCCTCTCTACTGCTCTTGCACTGCAAATATTACAAAAGGCTTAAACAGAAGGTGGCATTTGGGCGTCCAAGAGAAAAGGCAACCTGTTTCTTAAGGCTTTCAAAGGCATCAACATTGAGTAGAGAATAGCTGTGCGGGATGTCTTGATCTCCAAGTCTATTCATGTAACAAATACATATACAAAAGTCAGGGTCATTAACTCCTCTCCATTTCCCCTGATCCTGGCCATCCCAATTTGCCATCTGCGTCTACTAGATGTGATTTTGGCCCAGCCCTTCCCATCTCCGGGTCTCAGTTTCTCCATCTGCCCAAGAATTCTAGACTCCCCTCACGCTAGGACACATCGAATCTAATGGGGGTAGGATTCGATTAGGTTCGAGAAGAGCGTTAATTAATACGCAACGAGGCAAGCAAAGTGACTGATTGCATTAACCCTTCTTCCGCCAAACCAAGACCTCCCCGTCGGGCGGTTGGTTTTCAGAGCCGTTTCAGGAGGGGCGTGGCCAGACTCCATAGGCAACCACGCCCAGGAGAGCAGGCTCAGCCTTTGCCGCACCCAGCCCTGCGGCCCAGGGAAAGGGACCCAGGATGACGTCACGTACCACTTCCTATGTAACCCTCCGCACAGCACAAAGTAGTCTCCAACCCAGAGAGGATCTCGTCGCCCATACTAGATAACATTAAAAACCCTGGAGTCTCTTCGGAACTGATTATGGTTTTAGGGCCTGGGACCGACCTTCCAGAACATTGGCAATCTGTTTTTCCCCGGGCCAGCAAAGGAAGTAGTTCCGGCCTACAGTCGGCCAATGGGTTCCTCCGCAGCGGGGGATAGAGGATGGCGACCTCGTCGATGCCGGAGTCAGGGAGGAACGTGGCTACGAAAGGCTCAGGTAAGCTCCGGATAGAATCAGACCACCAAACTATACCCTGCCGTGGGGTGAGGTCACACTGCGGAGATACCCCGCGGCGAGGTCCCGGGCCGGCGGGGCTGTCCGAACAGGGCCCCGGGGTCCCAGGCCCTTTAGTTGCTCTCGCACTTGCCTGAGCGGAAACCGGGTGCCGCCGCAAGATGGCGTCGGGCCTGGAGCACAGGCAGCGCCGGGGACAGCCCCGAGTCGCCAGGCCCCGAGACCGTCGCTGTCAGCCCCCCTCCGCAGGGGAACCCGGGGAGGAGGGGAACGAACCACTGACCCAGGGGGCCTGCGGGCTGTACCACCGATTCTGTACCAGGGGGACTCGGGGCTCGACGGCCTGAACCACTGAGTCTGGACGGGTCGCATAGAGCGAACCACTGCTCGGGAACTGTGGGGGCGAGAGAAAGGGTCAAAATTACCGGTCATTGACCACCATCCCGGGGAAGGGTCTGAGCCTGGGGAGGCAAGCCTTCACCGTCCACTTTTCCCGGAGCTTCTCTCCGAATACACGTCAAACCCTGCCCTGTAGGAGACTCAGTCTTTGCATCTGCAAAATGGGTGCAAGGCTGCAGCTGGGTGGGCAGTGGTCGCCAGGGCCAGGGAGATGGCTCGCTTGTTCCAGCCTAGATCGCTTCCTCTCCCAGAGTGAAGGCGCTAGACCCCGCGCCCTCCTGTCGGGCGGCCCCCTGAGCCGATGGAGGAGAGTGAGGTGGAGAGCAGTAGCGACGCGGCCCCTCGGCCCGGCCAGCCAGAGGAGCCCTCTGAGAGTGGCCTGGGTGTGGGGACTTCGGAAGCCGTGTCTGCGGACAGTAGCGACGCGGCAGCAGCCCCAGGACAGGCAGAAGCTGACGACTCCGGCGTGGGGCAAAGCTCAGACCGTGGCAGTGGCTCTCAGGTATGCACCTGGCTGGACAGCATGGGTGGAGACAGGGACCAGGAGGAGCAGTGCCCGACAGACAAGAGGAAGCAGCCAGCAAGGCTTGTTTGTAGCTAATAGCTGTTTTTGATTTACTGTGATCCATGCACCCTAGTGAGCCCCTAACAAGAGTTTTCTCATTTCAGCTTTATAACTTGTAAGCTATGTACCATTTTTTCCTACATCTTACAGAAAAGGAAACCCAGGCACAGAATGCAGACAGAGCCAGGATCCAATTCAAGGCTGTGGTCTTAGCTAGTGTACTACTCACTGTCCTCACACAGAGGCAGGTTCAAGTCTTGCCCCTGCCTCCAGTTCATAGGAAGACATCTTTGAGCCTCAGTCTTTCTGTCTGTAAAAGTGGAGCAGGAATACCTGTTTCTAAGGGTGCTGGGTTATGACATTTTCTTGGAAACACTTTGTAAACCATCTCTTTCTGTCTCTGCCACTTCTGAGCTCTGTAATCTTGAGCAAGCTACCCAACTTCTGGCTCTTAGTTTTCTAAGAGAAAATGATAAATGATAAGTTTTCCTTGCTTATAGAATTTTCTGGAAGATTAAATGCGTTAAGTATTGAAAAGCAGTTAAAAGAGTGCTCAGCACATAGAAAGCACTTGGCAAGTGATGGCCCTTATTATCTGCAAGGTACTGATCATGGTCAAGACATCACTTGACAGAGGTACATAGCTGAGGCCTTCATTGGGGTCCAGCAGAAGCAGGCCTACTGTGTGCCCAGCTTGTGATGGACCCTAGGGATATAGCAAGGGACAAGAGAGGTTTGGGGTTTGGTACAGGCCTTTGTGGAATGTACAGCCTGGCACTCAGGGCATTACTATGCAGAGCAAACAGAGTATGATGGGGGGACGCCAGCTGCTGTGGCATTGAGGACAAAGAAGTCCTAACTTGGCTATAGGGGTCAGGGTTGTCTTCCTAGAAGTACAGCTAAGTGGTGGTGAGCTAGCTTGGGGTAATGCTGGAAGAGTTTTGGAGTGAATTAATGTATGCAAAAGCCGAATGAAAAATGGCTCCTCCTGGACTCGGTGCCCGTAGCTCAGTGGTTAGGGCACCGGCCACATGCACCAGGGCTAGTGGGTTCAAATCCTCTGAGGCCTGCTAAACAACAATGACAACAACAACAACAAAAATAGCCTGGCGTTGTGGCAGACGCTGTAATCCCAGCTACTTGAGAGGCTGAGGCAAGAGAATCGCTTCAACCCAAGAGTTTGAGGTTGCTGTGAGCTGTGATGCCATGGTACTGTACCGAGGGTGACATAGTAAGACTCTGTTTCAAAAAAAAAGGAAGAAAAATAGCTCCTCCTGGCTATAGTATGGAGGGTGTGAGGTTGCCTTCCTTTATTTTAGGGTAGCCCCTGACCAGAATCAAGGACCCTGGGACTTTTTCTTGGGGTACTCTGTGACTGGAACGTGTTTCTCACTAGTCCTCAGTGGGGCTGAGGGTGTGGGTGGCTCCACACACCTTGTCCTTGGGCTAGAGAGCTCTGTCTGGCAAGTGGGAGCTGGCAGGCTGCCTGCCCTACCCCTTCCCTGGCCCCTGAACTCCTTTACTCTGTTTCTTGCCCCTAGGTGGAGGTGTCTGAGAGCAGCTCAAGTACAGACTCCCTGCCTCATGGCTACCTCCCTGATTCATCGTCTGTGTCCCATGGGCCAGTGGTGGGGGTGACAGGTGGCCCCCAAGCGCTAGTACACTCCAGTGCACTCCCAGACCCCAACATGCTGGTGTCTGACTGCACAGCTTCCTCCTCGGACTTGGGTTCAGCCATCGACAAGATCATTGAGTCTACCATTGGCCCTGACCTCATCCAGAGTAAGTCAGACTGAGAGCTCCACGGGAGTTCCCTGCAGGGTCCACAAGATAGCTGTGTAAACTCAAGCAGGTCACCTTGCCACGCTGAGTGCATGAAGTGGGAACAGCAATATTGCCTGTCCCATAGTGGTAAATGACATGAGGATTTAATGAGATGTTGCACTGAAATTCTTAGCATAGTACAATAAAAAGTAGAAATAGTTATTGCTTTGTTCTGGGAGCTGTTCTCAACTTTACATACAATAGTTCATTTAATACTCCTAGTAACCCCGAAAGGTAGTCCAGATGACAGATATGAGGCACCGAGGAGACAGAACAACTTAGCCACTGTCACCAGCATGGAATGACTTGTGTTGTTGAGCTGTGAGCTCCGATCATCTGTGTCCTGAGCTTGTATGCTTAAGTACCACACTGTATCTACTACATGTGTTATCGCTGAGTATAGAGGCTATGGCCCTAGGAAGCCAACCCAAGAAGGCAGTGTGGGAAGTGGGCCATGACTTTGAGGAAGTTTAGAGAGCAAAGAGGAGGACTTTCCAGGGTTAGAGGGGCAGCCATGGCCACTTGTGTCACTATGGACTGGCTATAGAGCCAGCATGTCCCTCACAACAGACCTTACTAAGGGAGGCAGCTGGGGCTCAGAAGGGCAACACAGCTGGTTTGCAATTATACTGTTGAGCCAGAATTAAGTGGGGCCTATGGGGTGGGCCTATAGCTAGGAACCCCCTGCCCAGCTGTGACCTTCCTCTATGTCTGCCCAGGCTGTATCACTGTGACCAGTGCTGAGGATGGCGGGGCTGAGACCACGCGATACCTGATCCTGCAGGGCCCAGATGATGGTAAGATCCTAGGTGCCAGACCCAGGGAGGCCTACAGTGGGCAGAAGACTGGGAGAGGACAGGCTCTGTTCCACACTCCACATGATTTTGGCAGATTATTCACTGCTCTGGGCCTCCGTTTTCCTATTGGCGAGGAGCCCTGTGGTGGGGAGTTTGGTACTGGACTTCCTGGGCCTGCTGGAGAGGGGTAGCTACAGTTTGTGGCCAGTCCTGGCCTCCAATTAACCTTCCCTCTGACCTCCTCCCCACTACCAGGTGCCCCCATGACATCCCCAATGTCCAGTTCCACCCTAGCCCACAGCCTGGCAGCCATTGAGGCCCTGGCTGATGGCCCCACCTCCACATCAACGTGCCTGGAGCCACCTGAGGAGGCACAGGGTGGGCCCAGCTCTCCAGCACAGCCACCCCCAGCATCTGGTGCCGAGGAGCCGGACCTGCAGAGCCTGGAGGCCATGATGGAGGTGGTGGTGGTGCAGCAATTCAAGTGTAAGATGTGCCAGTACCGGAGCAGCACCAAGGCCACACTGCTGCGCCACATGCGGGAGCGGCACTTCCGTCCAGGTGCCTATCCTACTTGGGCTTCAGGGGTGCGGTGGGTGCTGAGAGCCAAACATGGCAAGCATATCTCACACTCCCCCCCCCCGCCAGCAACAGCAGCAACAGTAGCAGCAGTTGGTAAAAAGGGACGTCTGCGGAAGTGGGGCACCTCAACCAAGACCCAGGAGGAAGACGGGCCAGAGGAGGAGGACGATGATGACATTGTTGATGCTGGCGCCATTGATGACCTAGAGGGTAGGCCACTGGGGTTCCTAGGCCTGCTATCCTCACTCCCATATATAAATACGCACTGAGCTCTTCTCCACCCACATGGAGGGCCAGGAAGGAGCAGTTGGCACAGACACACCCATGGGTGCTTCTAGTGTTAGGCAGAAGGGATTGGCACTGGAATCAGGACCTCTGTGCGCAGTTGTGCAGGCTGCACACTGAAAAAGGCCAAAAGGGGGCCCTATTCACACTTGTCCAACAGAAAGACAATGTAAACAAAGTACATGTGTACTTTTTTTGGTAGCCATGTTGACCGTAAAAAGGAAAAGGTGAAATTAAGTTTGTTCACATATTTTATTTACCTACATATCTAAAATATTTTATAATTTCAATATTCAGTCGATTCTAGAAATTTTTAGGTGTTTTTTTGTTTGTTTGTTTTTGTTTTTGAGGCAGAATTTCACTCTGTTTCCCAGGCTAAAGTGAGTGCCATGGCCTCACTTTAGCTCACAGGCATCTCAAACCTCTGGGTTCAAGTGATCCTCCTGCCTCACTCTCCTGAGTAGCTGGGACTACAGGCACCCACCACACTGCCCTGCTATTTTTTTCTCTTTTTAGTAGAGATGGAGTTTTGCTCTTGCTCAGGCTGGTCTTGAACTCCTAAGCTCAAGGGATGCTTCCACCTGAGCCTCCCAGAGTTTTAGGATTACAGGCATGAGCCACTACACACAGCCTGTTTTTTCTTTTTGTTTTTTGTTTTTGTAGAGATAGAATCTTACTTTATTGCCCTGGGTAGAGTGCTGTGGAGTCACACAGCTCACAGCAACCTCCAACTCCTGGGCTTAGGCAATTCTCCTGCCTCAGCCTCTTGAGTAGCTGGGACTACAGTCACCCACCACAATCCTGGCTATTTCTTTGTTGCAGTTTGGCTGGGGCCAGGCTTGAACCTGCCACCCTTGGTATATGGGGCTGGCACTCTGCCCACTGAGCCATAGGTGCCACCCATGTTTTTTCTTTTTTTAAATATCATTTTTTAAGCCTTTGTGAAGCTTGCTTTTTTATACTAACTTTTTGTAATTCATTATGCATTTTACACTTAATCATATCTCAATTTGGACTAGGCATATTTCTTTCTTTCTTTCTTTCTTTTTTTTCAAGCTTTTACCCTGGGTAGAGTGCCATGGCATCACAGCAACTTCAAACTCTTGGGCTTAAGCCATTTTCTTGCCTCAGCCTCCCAAGTAGCTGGGACTACAGGTACCCACTACAATGCCCGGCTATTTTTTTTTTTTGCACTTGTCATTGTTTTAGCTGGCCCGGGCTGGGTTTGAACCCGCCAGCGTCCTAACCACTGAGCTATGGGCACTGCCTGAGGACTAGGCATATTTTAGGTGATTGATACCCACACATGGCTAGTAGCACCTGTTTGGGGTAGGGCAGTAATAGGATTTGTAGACTTGACTGTTTCCAACAGTGGCTGCCAAGTGTCTTGAGGAAGGGGCATCTTTTTCTAATTCACATAATGGTGCATATGAGCTGGTGGTGGGTGCTCAGGGAGGGATGCTTATAGTCTGGAGGGTGAGTCGCCATGGGCCTGAAGGAGGGGAACAGGCAGTGGTGGGGAAGTGGGCCTCTTCCCAGAGGAGCTGAGCAAGGGGTTGGGCTGAAAGGACAGGTCTAACTATTGTCCCCCTTCTCTTACTGTCCCCACAGAGGACAGCGACTATAATCCAGCTGAGGATGAGCCCCGGGGCCGGCAGCTACGGCTCCAGCGCCCTACCCCCAGTACCCCAAGACCCCGAAGGAGGCCTGGCCGGCCCCGAAAGCTGCCTTGCTTAGAGACCTCAGACCTCCCAGATGGTGAGACTTGGTCATGGGAGGGACCCGTGTGGGTAGGTCAGGGGTAGCCTCACCTTCTGTGCGTGTTTGTCTGGAGCTCTGGGGAACCAGTGTGCCCTGCAGAGTGGCAGTCTCAAACTGGGGTGCCCTGTAAGCCTCCTTGTAACTTGAGAAACGATATCTCTGCTTTATGAAAGTTTTCATTGGTAAATTGTCAAAAGAAAACTTTGATCTTATAACTGAACTAATAAGATACGTTTTAAATATTACTGAAATGAGGCTCGACGTCTGTAACTCAGCAGCTAGGGCACCAGCCACATACACCCGAGCTGAATCCGGCCCAGGCCTGCCAAACAGCAAAGACAACTACAACCTAAAAATAGCCGGGTGTTGTGGTGGGCACCTGTAGTCTCAGCTACTTGGGAGGCTGAGGCAAGAGAATAGCTTAAGCCTCAGAGTTTGAGGTTGCTGTGAGCAGTAACGCACACTACTGAGGGTGACATTGTGAGACTCTGTCTCAAAAAAAAAAAAAAAATATATATATATATATATGTATATATTACTGAAATGAGGACAATGGAATAAGTCTGAGGTCTGAGACTCCATCCAAAGCTCACTGACTTAGCGCATCACAGGCTGGGACCCAGTCATGAGTCTGAGTGTCACCTCTACAGCTTACAGTCTGTGTGTTGAGGACCAGATCATTTGGAATCTCCTGTTCCCTTGCTGAATGGAGGGTGACAACAGCACCTGCCTTTTAGGATTATAGTAAGGGTTAAACATACAAAAAGGCTAATGGTAGCTGTTTGTGTACATGCAGTTTGGAGGGATTGTTAAATTCATTGGTCTCTTTTTCAAAATAACTTTTCACTGGCTTGGTGCCTGTAGCTCAAGCGGCTAAGGCACCAGCCACATACACCAGAGCTGGCAGGTTTGAAACCAGCCTAGGCCTGCCAAACAACAATGACAACTACAACCAAAAAATAGCCAGGCGTTATGGCAGGTGCCTGTAGTCCCAGCTACATGGGAGGCTGAGGCAAGAGAATCACTTAAGCCCAGGAGTTAGAGGTTGCTGTGAGCTGTGATGCCATGGCACTCTACCCAGGGTGATAGCTTGAGGCTTTGTCTCAAAAAAAAAAAAAATACATATTGGGGAAAATTAACACGTATACTGCACAGGCCAAGGAGCTTTCACAAGGTAAACACATTGGTATAACCAAAATGTGAACACATCCATATGACCAAGTACCCCAATCAGGAAACAGGACAGTACCAGCATTGTCTGTATCCTTGTTAATTTTAAAGTACAGTATTATATTTAAATATTGGTTTATATATTTAAATATTGTTGATGTTTTTAAAGAGGTAACACATTTAGATTGTTCAAACTTCCAAAGGTTTGCAAGTGTATAAGCAAAGTCTTCTCCCTCCCCTCAATCCTCCAGCCACCCAGCCTCCCAGCCTCCCTAGGGAATACCAATATTCAAGCCCCATTATTATTTCTTAAGCGTTAGACTGTACCTTTAAGGACGTAAGGATGTAGCCTCCATTTAACAATGGAGCGAACAAGACTTAGGGAGGGGATGCTTCTGTCTGGGAATGCACAGTAAGTTGGTGTCAGAGCCATCTTGAACCCAGAGCTCCTGACCAAGAGGTCCAGCTCTGCTGTTACTCCAGACAACATCCAGCAGGAGGGGATACGGTATCCACACTGTCCTCAGACCACAAGCTATTTGCAGCTGTCTGGCAACTGGAAGGGCCCATCAGTGATCTGAGGCTGGCTGACTGGCCTCTGGCCCACCTATCCATATCTGTGGCTGATTTGTTTTTTGGTTGTTTTTTTTTTTTTTTTTTTTTTTGAGATGTCTCACTTTGTCACCCTGCGTAGAGTCCTGTATCATCATAGCTCACAGCAACCTCAAACTCTTGGGCTCAAGTGATCCCTTTGTACCTCAGCCTCCCCAGTTGCTGGGGCTATTGCGCCTTCTACAACACCCAGCTAGTTTTATTTTATGTTTGTTTGAGATAAGAGTCTCACTGTGTCACCCTCAGTTGAGTGCCATGGCGTCACAGCTCACAGCAATGTCAAACTCTTGGGTTTAAGTGATTCTCTTGCCTCAGCCTCCCAAGTAGCTGGGACTACGGGTGCCTGCTACAATGCCCAGCTCTTTTTTGGTTGTAGTTGGCCTTGGCTGGATTCAAACCCGCCAGCTCCACTGTACGTGGCTGGTGCCCTAGCCACTGAGCTACAAGTGCCAAGCCACCCAACTAGTTTTAGAGAGGGGGTCTTGCTCTGGCTAAGGGTGGTCTTGAACTCCTGAGCTCAGGCACTCCCCTGCCTCAGCCTCCAGAGTACTAGTCTGTAGCTGATTTGTGACCTAGGATATCTGTGGCAGGTGTGGAAGGAGAGCCTCTAGTGAGTTCCCAAAGTGGACAGAGCCCTCTGGAGCTACAAGATCCTGAAGCTCCTAGCTCCTCAGGTCCTGGACAGCTGGTGGCCCTGGGCAAGGCTAGCAGGGCCCCTGTGGAACCTGGAGTGAGTCAGTCAGATGCAGAGAATGCAGCACCCTCCTGCCAAGATGAGCCTGACGCCCTGCCTCGCCGCCGTGGTCGTCCATCCAGGCACTTCTTAGGCAAGAAATACCGCAAGTACGTGGAATGGGCATGGGACAGGTGGCAGGCCCCCAGGGTTCCTTGGGAGCCCCAAGGAGTCTCCTGACACTCTCCTGGCAGGTACTATTACAAGTCGCCCAAACCACTCCTGAGGCCTTTCCTGTGCCGCATCTGTGGCTCTCGCTTCCTGTCCCACGAGGACCTGCGCTTCCACGTCAGCTCTCATGAGGCCGGTGACCCCCAGCTCTTCAAGTGCCTGCAGTGCAGCTATCGCTCCCGCCGCTGGTCCTCACTCAAGGTGCAGCAGCCTGGGGGCCCAGGCACCAGAGAGGATAAGGAAGGTGGCAGTAGGGGAGAGTAGAGTTCTCTGCTTGCTGTAGAAGGCTTAGCTCTTCAGGCCCTGCAGGAATATGCAGAGGGGGCCTGTGAAGGGCTGCTGCGCATGGTGGCACTGCACTTTGTGGTCATAGTAGATTTGCTAGTTCACCACTGCAGACTGGCTCATGGCTGGAGAACTCTGGCTTCATCTGATTCAGTCTTTCCAGCAGATAGCAGTAATGAGTCTAAAGAACAGTCCTCCTTTTTCTCCTTAACCCAGAGGTGCCTTGGGCTTCTGCAGCAGCCCTGAACCTGTCTTTCATCTAGTACCTCAATAGTCACGTTCTCTCACAGCCCAGTGAGGTTGTAGGTGTAGATAGTCTCATTTTACTGACCCAACAAACTGTAGCTTGTCTTGGTTCATGAGCAGGTTGGCAGTTGGAGGAGGAGTCAGAGCTCTGTTCTTTGTGCACACAGTGCTCTGGGTTCCCTGGGTTCCACAGGGAAGGTGCCCCTTAGCACAGTGAGGGATGAGCTGTGGAGCCACACTGCATGGGTTCAGCTCCAACCTCTGCCATCCACAAGGTCCCTTCACCCTGAGCCTGGGTTTCTTTCTTTGTCAACGGCAAGGCAGCAGAGAACCTGGCAGAGTGGGTGTCCTTGTTGGGGAAAGTCCCCAGCCTTCAGAGGCCTCGACCCTTGCCCGAGGGCCTGCTGCCCACTCCTTCATTCTGTGAGCCTGCTCTCACACCATCCCTACATCTGTGGGCACAGACAGGGTGAGGGTAGGAGCGGAAGCCAAGCCCCAGGCTACTCCTTTTGCCTTTCTCCCAGGAACACATGTTCAACCACGTGGGCAGCAAGCCCTACAAGTGTGACGAGTGCAGCTACACCAGTGTCTACCGAAAGGACGTCATCCGGCATGCAGCTGTACACAGCAGGGACCGGTTAGTGGGTGGGTGGGTGGTAGGGTGACGAAGTGGGGGCTCAGAATAATCACGGTTCTTTCTTCCTGAGTACCTGCTCTGGCCAGCCCCTTTCACTGCACATTGCAGGCATGATCAGAAAAAATGAGGCAATTCATCCCAGATCAGGTGGCTCAGAACAGGGCAGTAGCAGGGCCTCGAGATCCCCAATCATTCTCTTCCCTGATGTGAATGTTAGCTGTCATCTGTAAAACGGGGACAGTTGTTGAGGAGATTGGAGGAAATTGTGTATCTAAAGGAGTTCAGTAAATGATTCAAAGATCTTCTGGAATCCAGGTCCGTATGCTCCTGTCAGTTGGTGCTGAGAGAGCAGACCTAGGATAAAGAGCAACAAAACCCCAAGGCTCCTAAGGATTGCTCACTGAACTGTAGATCGATCTGTAGTTGCAGGGAGGAGTTAGCTCCACAGGGTGGGGGTGATGTGTGAGCAGAGGTTGGATTCAGAGATCCACAAAGACAATGACTCAAACTATGTCTGTGGAAAATCCAAATCTCCAAGATACTTACAGGATCTCTTCTTTCTTTCTTTTTTATTTTTTTTTAAAGGAGGAGTTCTGTGGTCAAATAAGATTAGGGTCACTTGGGTGGCACCTATGGCTCAAAGGAGTAGGGCACTGGCCCCATATGCCAGAGGTGGTGGGTTCAAACCCAGCCCCGGCCAAAAACAGCAAAAAAAAAGAGTAGGGTCACCAGGTTGAATACCTGTTTGACGGCTGTCTTTCCTATAGGAGTTGTTAGAGCCTTTATTTATTTTCAGAGTCTTCAATATGCAAATGCATTGTATGCTTGAGAGAGAGAACCATTTCCCAAATGCAGTTGAATACTAAATGCTATTTACAGTGTGCCTTTTAGCATTTTCCCCAATTAACTCCAGTTGGGAAAGCTCTGTTCTGAGACAGAGGGGCTTAGGTGGGGAGGAAGGGTACTTAGGGCTGAGACTGAGTCTAGTCAGCATGAGAGGGTCTGGAGTGGGCTTAGGGAAGCTGTGGTCTAACCCTTGGGCCTTTTTCCCCACAGGAAGAAGAGGCCAGATCCGGTGAGTCTAAGCACTGGCCTGGGAACAGAGCCTGCCTGGGGGCTGCTTACAGGGATTGGGGTAGGAGGAGAAGACTCACCTTCCTTCTCCCCTCCTTTCTCCATCTGGCCCTTTCTCTGCCTTCCCAGACCCCAAAGCTGAGCTCTTTCCCCTGCCCCGTGTGTGGCCGTGTGTACCCCATGCAAAAGAGACTCACGCAGCACATGAAGACGCACAGCACTGAGAAGCCCCACATGTGTGACAAAGTGGGTGGCAGCCAAGGGCCAGGCTGGAGGTAGGGATGAGGGTCTTCCCTGGGTGACCCCCAGCTAACCTCACTCCACCCCTTGCAGTGTGGAAAGTCATTTAAGAAGCGCTACACCTTCAAAATGCACCTCCTCACGCACATCCAGGCTGTCGCCAACCGCAGGTACATCCCCTAGGAGGCCTCTGTGTGTCTGAGCACCCTTTGTCCAGCTCTGAGCTTCCCTCCCTCTAACTGCCACCAGGTTCAAGTGCGAGTTCTGCGAGTTTGTTTGTGAGGACAAGAAGGCACTGCTGAACCACCAGCTGTCCCATGTTAGCGATAAGCCGTTCAAATGCAGCTTTTGTCCCTATCGCACCTTCCGAGAGGACTTCTTGCTGTCCCATGTGGCTGTTAAGCACACAGGTCAGGCTTAGCACACCCAACCCTACCCCACTGCCCTTCAACTCTCTGCACCCCCTCATTGGAGGCTCAACTCTTATCTTCTTCCTTCCCGCTTAGAAGCCCTGCCCTTGGGAACAGCCCACATCCTTCATGTGTAAAGAGAATTTCCCATGTGTGTGTTCACTCTGACCTGAACTCAGATTCCCACTCAGAGGGCTACTTTCTGGGCTACTTGCTTACCCTCTCTGAGCCTTCCATAGTGAAATGGGGCAGTGAGAAGTGCCTGCCTATGGTCGTTACTAAAGTGAGTTCCACCTGCTCCCTAAGGCTTGTGTGTGCTGGGCACTGGAGCTGAAGGTGGGGTTCACCACCCCCCGACCCGCCCCCACCCCATGCATGTAGAGCAGCAGCAGTGTATGGTTGGCCCACAGAAGCTGCACAGCAAAAGTTGGTTCCTTGTTCTCCTTGGTGCCTTACCCTCAGGTAGACACACTAGGAGAGGTCAGAGAAGGGGACTAAGGCTTCCTTTAGCCTTATCCCTATCTGCCTGGAGTGGGGCTGGTTCAAGAGAGAAATGTGTAGTCATGTGACTTTGAAAACAGGCACTTGGCTGGGTGTAGTGGCTCACTCCTGTAGTCTGAGTACTGTGGAAGGCCAAGCAAGGAAGGTCACTTGAGCCCAGATGTTTGAGGCAACATAGTTAGACGTTGTCTCTACAAAAAATTAAAAAATTAGCCAGATGTGGTAGTACATACTTGTAGTCCCAGCTACTCAGGAGGCCAAGGCAGGAAGACCACCTGAGCCCAGGAGTTTGAGACTATAGTGAGCTATGATTGTACCACTGCACCCAGCCTGGCGACAGAGGAAGGCCTTGTTTCTAAAAAAGAACAATAAAACCATAAAAAGGAAATAGGCACTCCTAAGAAGGTTGTAATTATAGAGGTGGCTCTGATTTGTCTTAGTCCTGGCCCACCAAAATGGATAGCAGCATATGTCTGCCTAAGCATAGGCATGAATCATTGAAAGTGAATCAGTTGCAGAGGTCCTGGGATCAGGGAAGTCTCCCAGGGGCAGGGGTGATGGTGGTCGTGGATACTAGCATCCCCTAACATATGTCTACAGGGGCCAAGCCCTTTGCCTGTGAGTACTGCCACTTTAGCACGAGGCACAAGAAGAATCTTCGCCTGCACGTACGGTGCCGACATGCAAGCAGTTTTGAGGAATGGGGGCGCCGCCACCCGGAGGATCCCCCCTCCCGTCGCCGCCCCTTCTTCTCTCTGCAGCAGATTGAGGAACTGAAGCAGCAGCATAGTGTGGCCCCTGGGCCACCTCCCAGCCCTCCAGGACCTCCTGAGGTAAAGTCAGCCAAGCAGGCAGCACACAGAAGGTTAGGAGCATGGGCCAGGACGACAATGTGACGCCACTTCTCCCAGCCCCAATGCCTTCATTTGCACATTGAAGTACAACAAAATGATCCCTGCCTCTCTAGGCTGTGGGAAAGACCCGCTGAGTCACAGATACATCAGCCCTAAGCTCAGGGTAGGGATGGTTTTCCAGTGTCAGTAATGGAGAATGAGAACACTGGTGCTTAATTGTGATAGTAGTTTATTATTCTTGCATATAGAATTCCAGGCTTGGCGCCTGTGGCTCAAGCGGCTGAGGCGCCAGCCACATACACCTAAGGTGGCCGGTTCGAATCCAGCCCGGGTCCGCCAAACAACAACAATGACGACTGCAACCAAAAAATAGCTGGGCATTGTGGCGGGCACCTGTAGTCCCAGCTACTTGGGAGGCAGAGGCAAGAGAATTGCTTGAGCCCAGGAATTGGAGGTTGCTGTGAGCTGTGATGCCAACACACTCTACCCAGGGCGACAGCTTGAGGCTCTGTCTCAAAAAAAAAAAAAAAAAAGTTCCTCGTTCAGGCACTTAGCCACACCTTATCCAGCTGTAAGGGAAGCTGAGGAATGTAGTCTCAAAGCTGGGTAGCTGCCTCCCTGATGAAAATCAGAGCTCTGTCAGCAAGGGGAGGGTGGGTTCAGGAATAGGTAGGTAGCAGTCCCTGCCTGGTGAGCTGACACATTAACCCCTGAAAGACAGACTGCACAGTGTGTTGGTAGAACCAAAGCTCTGAAGTCAGTCTTGGGTTCAAGCAGCGGCCCTGCTACTTAAGTGGAATCTTAGGCCAGCCACTTCACCCAACCTCAGTTGATTCATCTGTAGCATCAAGCTTGTGTGTCCTGAAAAGTGATTGTGAAAAGAAAACAAACCAACATGTGTGAGATAGATACCCGACACATCAGAGGTCCTTGGTCAATGGCACTTGAATTCAGGCCAACCTGTCTCAGGCATGGTCACATCCCTACCCTAGATACCCCCAGAGGCAGCACCTTTCCAGTCACCTGAGACCTCCTCGCTGCTCTGTTCTGATTCTCTGGGTGGCACCACCATCATCTACCAACAAGGTGAGCTCTGAGGAAGGGAAGGAGCTCAAGGAGAGGGGCAGTGGCAGGGTCATGCTGGTGGGCTGGAAGATGGGAGGGGTAGTGTTGGATATCAGATTTTCAGCCCTTTGTCAGGCTTGGGTCCCACCCCACCCAGGAGCTGAGGAGTCAGCTGAGATGGCCACGCAGACAGCCTTGGATCTGCTGCTGAACATGAGTGCTCAGCGGGCCCTGGGGGGCACAGCCTTGCAGGTGAGCTACCTGGGGAACTCTTCCCTTACCCTGCTACCTTAGTAGCACAGCTCTGTGCTGGACACTAGGAATAGAGGAGAGCAGGGAATTAGAGCTGCCCTGCTCTCGGGGAGCTCCCTGTTAGCAGGAGAGAGAGCGCCACTGAAATCCAGTGGGCAAATGCAGAGGCAGACCAGCTATGCCAGGGAGACCCCAGGAGGCCAGGGAGGCTGTATGCACTGCTCTGGTGGCTTCTGGGGTCCTGTCCTTGTTTGATTTTTCTCCTAGCTCTGTTGTTACCCTATACCTGTAGGTAGGTGATCCTACCGGCATCTGAACTAGCTTCCCATCTAACAGGTGCCCTCATTGCATGATACTCTTGACATCCCGAAGACTCCAAGGCTTAATCTATCTCAGCCCTCTCCCTTGAGTTCCAGTGGCCTTAGCACATGTACCTCTAGCCTGACACATTCTCCCCTGAGTTCATCCTCTTTACTTCTCCTGACCCCACCTAACCGCCTGGGTTCACTTTCACACTTCCCTGCCCCTGCACATCTAGCCTGTCTTCAAGGCAGAGGAAAGTCTGTTTGCCTTGCCTGTATCCCAGCCTCTTGAAAAGAAGGAGAATGTGTGTTTAAGATTTTAAGTTCTGGCTCGGCGCCTATAGCTCAACCGGCTAAGGCGCCAGCCACGTACACCTAAGGTGGCGGGTTCGAATCCCCAGCCCGGACCCGCCAAACAACAATGATAGCTGCAACCAAAAAATAGCCGGGCGTTGTGGCGGGCGCCTGTGGTCCCAGCTACTTGGGAGGCAGAGGCAGGAGACTCGCTTGAGCCCAGGAGTTGGAGGTTGCTGTGAGCTGTAATGCCACGGCACTCTACCCAGGGGGACAGCTTGAGGCTCTGTCTCAAAAAAAAAAAAAAAAAAGATTTTAAGTTCTAAGAACTTGAAACAATAACATGCTGGCGGGGGCCAAGGACAGAGAAAACTCCAAGCCCATAGCTCAGTGGTTAGGGCACCAGCCAGATACACCAAGGCAGGCAGGTTTGAACCTGACCTGGGCCTGCTAAACAACAATAACTGCAACAAAAAAATAGCTGAGCGTTGTGGCGGGTGCCTATAGTCCCAGCTACTTGGGAGGCTGAGGCAAAAGAATTGCTTTAAGTCCAAGAGGTAAGAGGCTGCATCAGACCTGGGAATCTTCATGGATTTTACTTCAGGGAAAAGTGAGGTAGATAGAAGTTATTTTTTCTTTTTGAGACAAGAGTCTTACTTTGTAGCCCTCGGTAGAGTGCCATGGCATCACAGCTCACAGTAACCTCAAACTCTTGGGCTCAAGCAGTTCTCTTGCCTCAGCCTCCCAAATAGCTGGGATGACAGGCTCCCCCCACAATGCCTGGTTATTTTTAGAGATGAGGTCTTGCTCTGACTCGGGCTGGTCTCAAACCTGTGAGCTCAGGCAATCCACCTACCTTGGCCTCCCAAGTATTGGGATTATAGGCGTGAGCCACCGTGCCTGGCCCGAGGTAGATAGAAGTTTTATATTTTTAGATAGGAAATTGGATTTATCTTTTAAAGTTTTTGCCTTTGATATCAACCCTAGAAAGGCTGCCCCAGCCTTCACCCCAAGGTTAGGTAAACACACATCTCTGTTTTTTCTTAGAGGTTTATTTTTCACACTTGAGTCTTTAGTCCACCTGGAATTCATTTCTGGTATATGCAGAAAGGTAGAGGTCTAACTTTGTTTTTTTCCTAAAGGTCACCCAGTGCCGTCTGTGTATTAAGTAATCACACCTCCCCGAGTGGTTTGAAATGTCCTTTGTTTCACACACTAGATTCCTACATACATAGGAGTCTATTCTAGACTCTCCAGTCTCCAGTTCTATTTGTGTGCTGCTGCTCTCATGCCAGTTTCATGTGTTGTTTTTTTCTGATTTTGAAAGTATATTTGTTAAAAAAAAAAAAATGAACATTTAGAAATTCTCAACACAGAGCTAGATATGGTGGTTCATGCCTCTAATCCTAGCACTTTGGAAGGCTGAGGTGGGTAGATTGCTGGAGCCCAAGAGTTTGAGACCAGCCGGAGCGAGCGAGACTCCATTTCTAAAAATAGCATTTGGTGAGTACCTGTAGTCCCAGCTACTTGGGAGGCTGAGACATGAGGATCTTTTGAGCCCAGGAGTTTGAGATTACTGTGAGCTATGACACCAGGGCACTCTATCCAGGGCAACAGAGTGAGACTCTTACCTCCAAAAAAAAAAAAAAAGTTTTGAACAGGAAAAATAAAAGACTTTGACATTCCTCCCTTCCTACCAGGTTAAGAATTTCTTCCCCACCTTGTTCATGTACACACTAACACCTAGACCTTTGTTCCTTAAAAAATGGGATCACACCGTTCATACTCCTCACAACTTAGCTTTTCTTCACTCAGCAGTGTGTAATAGGAAGCCTGGCCATCACCAGGCTCATTTCTCATCCCATCTCCATATTATATCTCTGTATCATTTTATTAGATAAGTGTTCTAAAGTTTATTTAACCAGGTTTGGAATGGTGGCTCACTCCTGTAATCCTAGCACTTTGAGAGGCTGAGGCCAGTGGATTGCTTGAGCTCAGCAGGTCAAGACCAGCTTGAGCAAGAGCAAGACCCCATCTCTAAAAACTGAAAAACATTAGCTGTCCATTGTGGTAGGGGCCTATAGTCCCAGCTATTCAGGAAGCTAAGGAAAAAGGATCACTTGAGAGTTTGAAGTTGTTGTGAGCTATGGCACCACTGCACTCTACCCAGGGCAACAGAGTGAGACTCTGTCTAAAAACAAAAAAAAAAAAGTTTATTTAACCAGTCTTTTATGGTTGGGTTGTTTCCAGTTTCTGTTATTTCAAGAGATGCTTCAGTTTACATGTATAGTAAAACCTCCCTAGTTGATGACCACCTTAAGTTGACCTAATTTTCATAGACAGGTCATACCCTACATGTACATGTCAATAAAGTAGGCCTATGGCTCTGCGCCCATAGTTCAGTGGTTAGGGCGCTGGCCACACACACTGGGCCGGTGGGTTCCGCTAAACAACAACGATGACTACAACCAAAAAATAACTGGGTGTGGTGGTGGGCACCTACACTCCCAGCTAGTTGGGAGGCTGAGGCAAGAGAATCACTTAAGCCCAAGAGTTTGAATTTGGCTCGGCACCTGTGGCTCAAGTGGCTAAGGCGCTAGCCATATACACCTAAGGTGGCAGGTTCGAATCCAGCCCGGGCCCGCCAAACAACAATGACAGCTGCAACAAAAAAAAAAAATAGCCAGGCGTTGTGGCGGGCACCTGTGGTCCCAGCTACTTGGGAGGCTGAGGCAGGAGACTTGCTTGAGCCCAGGAGTTGGAGGTTGCTGTGAGCTGTGATGCCACGGCACTCTACCCAGGGGGACAGCTTGAGTCTCTGTCTCAAAAGAAAAAAAAGAGTTTGAAATTGCTGTGATGCTGCAGCACCCTACTGAAGGTGACATAATGAGACTCTGTCTCAAAACAACAACAAAAACAATACAGTAGGCCTAGTTCTTTATGTTGACCTATTTGTTACAGTCTCTTGAGTGGTCAACTTTCAGAATATTTTCAATGCTCATAAAAGTTTTTCATTTAAAAAATAAAATAGCCTCCTAAAAGTGGACTTGATGGATCGCAAGGTATAAAGCCTTGTAAAAAGATATACCAATAGAGGCTTGGTGCCCGTAGCTCAGTAGTTACAGCACCAGCCACATACACCAAGGGTGGCAGGTTCAAATCCAGCCTGGGCCAGCTAAGCAACAATGACAACTGCAACAGAAAAATAGCTGGGCATTGTAGTGGGCGCCTGTAGTCCCAGCTACTTGGGAGGCTGACGCAAGAGAATTGCTTAAGCCCAAGAGTTTGAGGTTGCTGTGAGCTGTGACACCTCGTGCTCTACTGAGGGTGACATAGTAAGACTCTCTCCAAAAAAAGAAAGATATACTGGTATACTTGACCATTACAGAGGAGTGTCACCCTATGCCTTTGTGAGACTGTCTCTTTAAAAAAAAAATTCTCTGCCATTCTAATAGAAGTATATTTCATGGTCTTAGTTTATAATTGTGTGATTACAAGTTGAACTTTTCTATGTTTAGAGATCATTTTAGTTTTTCTCCAAATTACCTGCTTGCATCATTTTATTATTGTTTCACAAGAGCTCTTTGTATATGAAGGAAATCTACCTTTTATCTCTCATATGAATTGTTAAAATCCCCCTGCCCAGTTTCTTTGTTGTCTGACTTCATTTTATGGTTTGATTTGCTGTATGGTTTGATTTACCTTTTGTCATGACTAGAAAAATCTCCCCAAGATTATAAAATATGTTCTTACATTTTTAAGGATATATTTAGAGTTTTATTTATTTTATTTTAATATTTAATCCTTCTGAAGCAGACTTTGGAATAAGATGTGCAGTAGAGTGCTTCCTTTTTTTTCCTTAAGTGATTTGCTGCTTGTCCGTCTCTCCCAGGGTTTCCCAATTGTGGCACTGTTGACTTTGGGGACCAGATTAATTCTTCATTGTAGGGGCCGTCCTATGCATTGTGGGATGTTCAGCAGCATCAGTGGCCTCTACATGCTACATGCCAGTACTGTCCACCCACTTATGACAACCAAAATGTCTTCAGACACCACCAAATGTCCCCTGGGGGCAAAATCCCTCTACTCTAGTCTTTTTCTTTATTATTATTATTATTTTTGAGAAAGGCTCTCACTCTGTTGCGAGGTCTAGAGTATAGAGGCATCATCATAGCTCATTGTAGTCTCAAACTCCTGGGCTCCAGTGATCCTCCTGCCTCAGCTTCCCAAGTAGCTGGGACTACAGGCGTGTATCACTATGCCTGGCTAATTTTTCTTTTTTGCAGAGACAGGGTCTCACTTTTGCTCAGGCTGGTCTTAAACTCCCGGCCTCAAGTGATCCTCCTGGCTCAGCCTCTCAAAGTGCTAGGATTACAGGTGTGAGCCACTGTGCCTTGCCTGCCCTATTCTTATTCATCTATTTCCAGTTGCTAATTGGGATTTGGAAAGCCAGAATGTATTTTAGAAAAAACTAGGATTGTGGGAATGAATGGTGGTAGCACTGGGTCTGGCCATTCATTGTAGGAGAGCTTCAGGGCACTGAGATGGAGGAGGGTCTTGCACACCTACCATCATGCTCACTGGTGCCATTGCAGGTGGCCGTGGTGAAGTCGGAGGATGTGGAAACAGAGTTAACTTCCCCTGGTGGGCAACCCTCTCCCGAAGGTGCCACTCCACAGGTGGTAACCCTCCACATGGCAGAACCAGGGGGCAGTGTGGCAGCGGAAAGCCAGCTAGGTGCCTCTGAATTACCGCAGATCACCCTGGCACCGGGTCCATTCGGTGGGGCTGGCTATAGCGTCATCACAGCACCTCCTATGGAGGAAGGGACATCAGCTCCTGGCACACCTTACAGGTGAGACATGCTGCCTGCAAGGCCCCTTTCAGCCTTATATAAGTGTGCTGAGGCACTTGGATTTGAGCCCTGACCACCCAAACCTAGTTGGCAGGATACAAAATTCCCAACACATATCAGGTGATTGGGTGTAGTGTAGTCTGTCCTCGGGAGGTCAGGAGCCACCATTTTTTGCCACTTAGATGTTGCCAGCACTTGAGCTCATGATCTCACCTATACCATTCCCATAGATGCACATTTCCCTCATTTTACAAATGAGGAAACAGGCTCGGAAAGTTAAGTAACTGGCCTAAGGTCAGACATATAGTAGGTAAGGATTTGAAGTCTGGTCTCTTTGGTTCCCATGCCCAAGTGCTCTTTTTCTTAGATGATCCGGTTGTTTTCTGGCTTTGACATTTGGATGAAGCTCAGGTTTCTTTGCCAACGTTTACGGTGTGACACCTGCATCTGGCTTCTCTAAGATGAGCCAGTTTGGGGCAGGAATGTTTATGTGTTTGGTGAACCTTAGGCCATCTGATGGAGCCCTGAATTTAAGTGCCAGATTATTTTACCTGAGACAGGAGTCAGGATCCCTGGGCCCATGCCCTTAGGTGGTACCTGGGCAGATAGGTTTCTCAGCATCTGCTCTCTGCTTTTGGACTGCAGGTCCTTGGTATCCTGCCCAGGGATTGGGCTCATGGTGGGGGTTCCCCCCCTCCCTTTGCTACCCTGTTGGCTTGACCCTGTCTTCCTGCACCACTTGGCCAGACTTGGGCTGGACCCCTGAGGCCCTCTGTCTCACTGCCTCCTCCCTCCCACTGCCATGCTTACCAAGGGGGCAGAGATTACCACTTTTTTGAGCAGGGTGCTGTGCCAGCCACTTGGTAATCATTTACAGGACAGCCAGTGGAGGTCAGCTGATAGGGCAGAGGAAGGGTCCTTCCACCTCAAGTCCACCCCCAGGGAGTAGGCTCCTGTGGTACTCCATCCTGCCCTTCTCTGTGCCCACAGTGAAGAGCCCCCAGGGGAAGCAGCCCAGGCTGTTGTTGTGAGTGACACCCTGAAGGAAGCTGGCACCCACTATATCATGGCTGCTGATGGGACCCAGCTCCACCACATCGAGGTGAGGTTGGGGGTAGCCACCACTACCCATCCCCCAGCTCCTATGCTTCTCAGCACCTCATACTGCCTGGTCTCTCCACAGCTGACTGCAGATGGCTCTGTTTCCTTCCCAAGTGCAGATGCTCTGGCCTCTGGAGCCAGGTGGCCCCTGCTGCAGTGTGGGGGGCTGCCCAGAGATGGTCCTGAGCCCCCATCTCCAGCCAAGACCCACCAGCTGGGGGACCCCCAGAGTTCTGCCTCCCCACCTCTTGCAGCCAGCAAAGCCCTGGGCCTGGTCGTGCCACCCTCATCACCATCTGCTGCCACCACAGCATCAAAGAAGTTTTCCTGCAAGATCTGTGCTGAGGCCTTCCCTGGCCGGGCAGAAATGGAAAGTCACAAACGGGCCCATGCTGGGCCCACTGCTTTCAAGTGCCCTGACTGCCCCTTCAGTGCTCGCCAGTGGCCTGAGGTCCGGGTAGGTGTCCCCCACCCCCTTACCTCTGCTGTCGTTTATTGGGCTACTCATTTATATAACAAACCTTTATTGAATGCCCCCTCAAGCCAAGTCCTCTGCCCCCCTCTAGGGTCAGAGATGACTCAGCAAGGTCCCAGCTTTCAGGGAGTTTGGTCTGGTGGTGAGGCAGACATGACATGACAATGCCTGATAGTGTCCCCAACGTGAACCAAGTGTGTGGGGTAGAGAGCACAGACATATGAAGAGCAAGTCATTTGGACATGGGGTGCTGGGGAAGATGTGACAGAGGTGGGATGGCTGAGCTGGGCCTACAGGAGCAAAGACCGTGTGAGGCAGGGCTGGGAAGTTCACGCCATCTAGAAAACTGAGGGGGCAGATTGGTGGGGGTCAGTGTGGAGAAGGCAAAGGAGGCAGGTTCTGGGGCAGGTCCATAGTCCATCTGGGGGGCTCTCTCTGTGCCTGAGATTTCCAGTCTTCAGGTGTGACCCAGCCCCACAGGGAGACTATAACCCCATTAGGCAGGACTAAGCCCTAGGATATAGTGCTGGGTGGCACCTTCAGAGGTCCCCTCCTCCATCAAACACCTCTAAGTTACACACAGGTAAACTGAGTCTGAGCTGCGATAGAATTTTCCCAGTGACCTATTGGTGGATCCTGTGGCCTCTCACTCTGAGAACAACACAGCCACCTAGACCTTTATCTGCTTTGTGCTATATACCCAGCTTCTTACTAGTACACAGTTTGGGGTTTCCTGGGCCTGCTTTGTAGAGACCTGGGGACTTCCTGCCATCTGTCCTGACCCAATTGATGGTCCCACTGCAGGCCCACATGGCACAGCACTCGAGCCTGCGGCCCCACCAGTGCAGCCAGTGCAGCTTCGCCTCCAAGAACAAGAAGGACCTGCGGCGGCATGTACTGACCCACACCAAGGAGAAGCCTTTTGCGTGCCACCTCTGTGGGCAGCGGTGAGCCGGGTACTAGTGGGCAGGGCAGTTGGGCACGTATGCTGGAGCAGCCCCGAGCCTTCTTCCGTCCCCTCAGTTTCAACCGTAATGGGCACCTCAAGTTCCACATCCAGCGGCTGCACAGTCCAGATGGGAGGAAGTCAGGGATTCCTACAGTCCGGGCCCCAACCCGGACCCCAACCCAGACCATCATCCTGAACAGTGATGACGAAACACTGGCCACACTACACAGTAAGCTGCCCCTGGGCCACAGGGTGGGTACCAGGGTGGATCCAGAGGCACCTCTGGGCCAGGGTAGGAACTCTGGGTGAGCATCCTCCCCCCTCTCCCCAGCCACACTCCAGTCCAGTCACGGAGTCCTGGGCCCAGAGCGGCTGCAACAGGCACTGGGCCAAGAACACATCATTGTGGCCCAGGAACAGACAGTGACCAATCACGTAAGAGCCGGAACTTAGGGGCCCTGCTTGGGAGGTCATAGCAGGTCACGAGTAGGGGTGGGGACAGATAAGAGACCTAAGACGAGAGCTGGCTCGGTCCTGACAGGAGGAAGCCACCTACATCCAAGAGATCATGGCAGATGGTCAGACAGTACAGCACCTGGTGACCTCTGACAATCAGGTGAGCTGTGGCCACCCCTTCAGCCATGACTTTTTGCCCTCCCTCCCTCCCAAGGCCCTCAATGAGGAGGAATAGTACTTTCAAACCACCTCTCCCAGGATCTGTGCTTTCTACCAACTGCCATTATTGGTGGTGGGGATCTCTAGTCCCCCACTTTGCTTAGCTGGGCCCCTCAGCACCTGCCTACTCCCCACCCTTCCTCAGGTACAGTACATCATCTCCCCGGATGGTGTTCAGCACCTGCTCCCCCAGGAATACGTTGTGGTCCCAGAGGGCCATCACATCCAGGTAGGCTGGGCCTGGAGCAAGGGTGGGGTGCGAGGGGAGGACTGCACAGCTTCTTCCCGGGAGAGATCATGGGTTGATTTCCTGTTTAGGTGCAGGAGGGCCAGATCACGCGCATCCAGTATGAACAAGGAGCCCCATTCCTTCAGGAGTCCCAGGTAGGCCCTGCGGGGGTCAGGTGGAGCTGGGGCATGGGTGGGCCTCCTCTAGGACCACATCTCATCAGCCTCTTCCCTCCAGATTCAGTACGTGCCTGTGTCTCCAGGCCAGCAGCTTGTCACACAGGCTCAACTGGAAGCTGCAGCACACTCAGCTGTCACAGGTAGGGGTTGGACCCTGAAGACCATGGGGGCTGGGCCCAGCTGCTGGGCCCTAGGCTTATGGTGCTTTCTTCTCTCCTGGCAGCAGTGGCTGATGCTGCCATGGCCCAAGCCCAGGGCCTGTTTGGCACAGAGGAAGCAGTGCCTGAACACATTCAGCAGCTGCAGCACCAGGGCATCGAGTACGACGTCATCACCCTGACCGACTGAGCCCCAAGGGCTGAATGCAGATCGTGGATATTGGGGCCAGCCCTCCTGGGGTCCTGGGGTGGGGGGACCCACCAGGACTCACTGCCCTCTTCCACTTAGTATCTCCAGATACTGGGTAGCCAGCATCTTGTCACCCCAAGGGAGCCAGACCTGTGCTACTAGGGTTGGGGGCAGCTATGGGCCCCAGCCAGGACATGCTGGGTGCCCCAGCCTGCAGGCAGGCTTTGGGAGAGAAATTTATTTTTGTTTGGATGGACCTACTGGCCCCTTAGTCTCAATAAAGGGACCAGAGTCCATCCTTGACCAGTTTGGTTTGTCTACTTCAGGGATCCTCAAACTTTTTAACAGGGGGCCAGTTCACTGTCCCTTAGACCGTTGGAGGGCTGGACTGCGGGCCCTGGGACAAGTCAGCTGCTAAGCAGGACAGGCAGTGGTGGCAAAAACACCCAGTGGGCCAGATAAATGTCCTAGGCGGGCCATATGTGGCCCGTGGGCCATAGTTTGAGGATGCCTGGTCTACTTGCTGCTGGAGCCTGAACCAGGCCAAGACCTGGGAAGCAGAAGGGCGAAGGAGCCTGTTAGCAGCCCCAACAGGTGGGCTGTGAGATGGAGGCTGCCTGGTTCCTGGAGCATCCTGCCATGCCTCTGTAAGTACAGCAGCCCAGCAGCAGGGCAGACCCTTGGTGCAGATGGCTAACAATAAGGGGTGACTGAGCTGGGAGAGAACTACTATTTATCTTCAGACCCTGCTATCTGCTATCCCCAGCCCCAGGGGAATAGGTGCTCCATGCCCGCAGGCACTACACCTAGGCCCATGTGATCCTGAGCCTCAACTATGAAACACATCCAGCTGTTCACCCCCTGCTGTGGTTTGGGGCCTGGGCACAGGGTAGAGATGCCAGTCCCTTGCACCCCCAAGGCCTCTGTGCAGACCCAGTTGTGGAGTCTGGAACTAGGTGATGGAGGGTCCTGGACCCCCCAGATCTGCTAATCACAGGCAGAGGCCACAGGGACCCCGCTGAGGGGAGCCTAGGTGTTCTGTGAAGCCCCAGGGGTCATGAGAGGGAGAGCCTGAGCGTAGAGGGGTGTGGTCCCAGGAGTAGCTCCAGGTTCCTTAGCCTGCTCTGCCCTCAAGACCCTCACACATTCTTGTAGGGGTTTCTGTATTTCCTTTTACAAATGAAACAAGGTAGTAACAGGGTAGGAAGTAGGGCCGGGAAGGCATGGGGCCTATTTACAGGGGATACGGAGTAAGTCTGAGGTGGGGAGATGGGGGATAAGGGCAGGGAGGGGGAGCCCTGGCAGAGCCATTATTTTCCTATGTCTGTGGCAGCCAGGGTCCTGCTGCTACCCACGGGGAGGGCCCTGGGGCCTGCTCAGCCCCCATAGGCCTGAGTCCCAATAGTCCGTACCAGCACCCCTAGGGCTCCTCCTCCCCGCAAGATGTGTTAAGTGGGGTGAGGCTCGCGGCTAGGGCCCTGCTCACGGCCAGAGTCCCGATCTTTGGCCTCTGAGGACGATGATGAGGAAGAACCAGAGCCATGGCTGCGGCCTGACTGCCGGTAGGCGGTGCTCAGTTCCTGCAGCCGCTCTGGCGTGGGCCCCCACTTGGCAAAGCCAGGGTCATTCTGTAGGAAGAGCACCGCTGTGTTGTGGACCGCCTTGTAGTGCATTTCCTCCCTGCGAGCAAAGGCAGCTGCTCAGGGTGGGGCTTGGCCTAGCCAGCCCAGCCCCACCTGGCCAGCAGGGCTCTCCTTCCCCTGCCCTCCCCAGCACCCACTTCTTGCAGATGTGCTGGGAGCCACTGCGGTACTCGTGCTCGAAGGCAGTCAGGATCAGCTGGTGGCGTTTGAAGCGGCTCTGCTCCATGCGGGTGAGCGCTGGTGTGGGGGGCTCCCGCCACTCGGGGATGAACACAATGAAAGACAGAGGCTCTGGTGAGCTCTCCAGCAGTTTCTATAGATGGGAGCACAGGTTGACATCAGGGGCTGCCCCAGGTGACTGGCCACCCTTCCTGCTCCCACCCCAGCATCAGCACACCCACCTCAAAGTGAGAGACCATAGCATCCATGAGCTCCTCACAGAATGGAGGGTTGGCCTCAAAGGAACCACTCAGTGGGGCAAAGTCTAGGCAGGGCCTAGGGACAAGATTGAGCATTGAAAGTTCCATTAGGACTTAAGCACTTAACTAGAAATAGGTGCCATTCCTACCTCAGGCAGTCATGCTGGAGATGGTCCTGATCAAGCCAGAGTTTACCCTTAATTCGCCCTAGGACAGGTCCCCATTAAATGAATGAGGATAGAAGGCTCAGGCTTGGATACCCAAGTCCACCAAGCTGAGGAGCTGGAGTTTAGATCCAGTTCTGAGCCTACTGCCACCACAGAGGATGTCACACCCAGGAATTCCCTAAGTGCTTAGCTTTGGACCTCTTGATGGCCTGGCCATTTCTTCCTCCTAAATACAGCACCATCTTTCATCTGTGCTCCCCCTCTGCCTTCCTATTACTTGTTGTAGGTCTCTGAGTTCTGTGTCACCACTTCTCTTTCCTCTTAGGGTCTGGAATCAAGTGTTCCCATTCCAATCCTGAACTAATTCACTAAGGAACCCACAGGTCAGGTTAGGTGGTATCTTGTGCCTGCCCACTGGGTCAGAAAAGCTAAGGCTCCCATAGGTTAAGTGACACATCCACACAGCTGGTGAGTGGTACAGGCAGGGACTATCCTCGAGACTGCCTGACTTCAAAGCCCTAAAGTATTAGGAAGCAGCTGGCCGACGTGGGACCTCACTCTGGAGGACAGCTTCCGGGACCTGGGCAGTGGGGGTCCAGCAGCCCCTGGCTCTCACCCTCGGGAGCCAAAGTAGCCATCTGTGTCAGGGAAGGCAGAACAGTACTGGCGGAAGTAGCAGTTGAGGGGTGAGGCGAAGCACTCGAAGCTGACACCAAAGAGTCGGTGGAGGGCCTCAAAGACGTGCACAGGCAGTGATCCCTGCAGGCCAGTTCCCTCATAGAGGCCCACGCCAAACATCATCTGCAGAGGGACCATAGTCAGTAAGTGGGGCTTGGCCTCCCAGGCCCCTTTAAAGGAGCCCTTCCCTGGTTGCCCCCAGTCCTATACCTGGTACCGTCGAAGAAGACACCAGACCCGGGGCAGGAACCTCTCAAAGGCAGGGTCATCAATACAGCTATAGCGGTAAAGGAGCCACTAGGGGACAGAAAGTGGTAAGGTTCAGAAGGGGTCCTTCATGCCCTTATTACTGGCCTCTTGCTGGGATTCTGAGTCAAAAAAGACCCCAGGCCATAACTCATGCCATTAGCCGGGGCTCTCCTCACCGCTGCTCTTACCAGCTTGCTGAAGTAGTTGCGGCTGACCTTGACCATCTCTCCCTTATACCGGATGCAGACCACGTTGTTTTCCATGTGCATCTCCACACTAGGCATGGGTGGTGCGGACACAGCCAGCCGCACAGGGTAGCAGTACACCAGGCGGGGCTCCACCTCAGGGGCCTCTACCTCCTCTGGGGGCAGAGAGAGAGTGAGAGGCTGCCCTGTCCCCACTTGCTTGGTCTCCCCTTGGGCAGTTTCAGTGCCTACTGCTGCATGGTTTATAACAAAGGGAGTTCCACAGTTCAGTAAATTACGGCTCATTTTCAATAAGAGAACAAAAAACCATTCAAAAGAAAAAATAACCAGGCAGTTGGCAGAAGCAGAAACTAGTGATCTTTGTCACCATGATCAGTATTGAAACAGACCCCTGTCTGTGTCAGTTGGGGCCTGGCAGGCAGGTAGGCTTGGATCTATGGGGCTTGCTACTAACATCACTACAATAGTCACAATATCTCATTTGGGGATCTTTTTATTTTTTGAGTCAGAGTCTCACCTTGTCACCCTCAGTAGAGTGCTGTAGCATCATAGCTCACAGCAACCTCCAACTCTTGGGCTCAAGTGATTCTCTTGCCTCAGCCTGCCAAGTAGTTGGGACTATAGACACCCCACAACACCCAGCTATTTTTAGAGATGGGGTCTTGCTCTTGCTCAGGCTAGTCTTGAACCTGGGAGCTTAGGCAATCCACCTGCCTTGGCCTCCCAGGGTGCTAGGATTATAGGCATTGAATACCATACCCAGCCTCATTTGGAGACTGGGGCCAACTGGTTTACCTGAGTTACCTATGAGCACTCTAATAATCCTATGGCCAGGTATGATACCTCAGTCTGGGGAAACTGAGGCTTACAGAGAATGGATGTAAACCTAAGTCCACCTCACTACCTACCCCAGGGCCCATCTTTCTCCACCAACTTATGGCTTCCCTTTCTTTTTTTTTTTTTTTTTTTTGAGACAGAGCCTCAAGCTATCCCCCTGGGCAAAGTGCCATGGCATCACGCTCACAGCAACCTCCAACTCCTGGGCTCAAGCGAGTCTCCTGCCTCCGCCTCCCAAGTAGCTGGGACCACAGGCGCCCGCCACAACGCCTGGCCATTTTTTGGTTGCAGCCATCATTGTTGTTTGGCGGGTCCGGGCTGGGGATTCGAACCCGCCACCTTAGGTGTACGTGGCTGGCGCCTTAGCCGGTTGAGCTATAGGCGCCGAGCCTTCTTTTTTTTTGAAACAGAGCCTCAAGCTGCCCCCTGGGTAGAGTGCCATGGTTTCACTGCTCACAGCAACCTCCAACTCCTGGGCTCAAGCAAGTCTCCTGTCTCAGCCTCCCAAGTAGCTGGGACCACAGGCGCCCGCTGCACCGCCCATTTTTTTTTTTTTTTTGGTTGCAGCTATTGTTGTTTGGCGGGCCTGGGCTGGATTCAAACCCGCCACCTTAGGTGTATATGGCTGGTGCCTTAGCCACTTGAGCCACAGGCGCCAAGCTGGCTTCCCTTTCTTATCACTTCTCCATTTGGTGGAGAAGTGCTAAAACCCCCAAGCCAAAGGACAGCACAGGTTCTGCTCCAAATAGGCCTGGGCCTTAGGCTCAGCCTCACTTATTCCTTCCATCAGGGCACTGGGGTTACAGATGACAGCAGTACAGCTGGCTCCCCACCACCTTAGCTAGCTACCTGGGATGTTGTTTTCCTTGAGGATGGCAAGGTGCTTCTCTCGGATCCGTTTGACATACTCCAGCGAGATGTGGTAGATCTTGCTGCAGATGCCTTCCACAGAGTCCTTGGCTGCGGCCGAGACATGGGGACCACACTGCCTCCGCAGGTGCTCTAGGCGATCCTGGAGGATACACTTCTGATCAGGGCACCAGTGGAGGCCAGAGGGCCTCAGCTGGGCTGGCAGGTAACTGTAAGGATGTTAGATTCCAGCAG